ATTCCTTCACTCAACTTTACACTTGGCCCTGTAGAGTCAGAAAAGTGCCATTCTCCTGGCAACCACCAAACCAGGACTTGTCCATTGGATTGCCAGGTGGGAAAGTGAGATTCTGCACTGTAAAGAAGTGAAGGACTCTCTAGAGTCCAGTAGTGCCATGCTTTACACCACTACAATCAACACTTTGCATTGCACTTGGTGATGTAAGGCTTGGATGCAGCTGCTCGTCCATGGAAATCCATTCCATGAAGAACTCTACACACTGTTCTTGAGCTCATCTGAAGGCCACAGGAAGTTTGGAGGTCCGTAGAAACTGAGTCTACAGAAAGTTGGCGACTTCTGTGTACTATGCGGCATCCGCTGACCGCATTCTGTGATTTTACATGGTCTACCTATGATCTACATTAAGTAGCTGTTGTTCCACTTTGCTATAATACAATACCACTAACAGTTGACTTTAGAATATTTGGTAGTGAGAAGATTTCACAACTAGACATGTTGCACAGGTAGTACCCTATCACACTACCATGCTGGAATTCACTGAGCTCCAGAGAGCAACCTTTTCTTTCACAAGTAATTGTGGAAAGCAATCTGCATGCCTAGGTGCTTGGGCTTATGTACCTGCGGTCATGGAAGTGATTGGAACACCAGAATTTTATGATTTGAATAGGTGAGTAACTTTGCCAAACAATTATTAATCAACAATCAAAAGACCCAGAGACAGTTTTAAATCATTTGAAAGGCTGACACTTAGCTTTGTCTGCCCTTCGTTGGAAAATGAGGAAAAAAAACAAAGCAGTTTTGTCGTTATCTATTGTCCACCTGTGCCTAATTTAGTGTCTCTCTCAGTTTTTAAAATGTAAAAGAACCCACCACTTTAATCACACCCTAGATCTTGTTCTGACATATGGCATAGAGACTGAACATTTTACAGTGTTTCCAGAAAACCCTCTCTTGTCTGATCATTTTCTAATGGTATATAAATTTACAATAATGGGTTACATAGCAGTGGGGAATACATTTGATCAGAGTAGATGTCTTTCACAAAGTGCTGTAACTAAGTTTAAGGATATAATCTTAATCTTAATATTAATAATATAATTATCTTCCTCAATGCTCTGTACCAACATGTTGCAGAAATATATTTTTACTTCTTCCCTGCATACAACTTTAGCTCCTGTGAAAACTAAGGTCTCTAATCAGAAGTACCTGACTCCGTGGTATAATTCTCAAACACGTAGCCTAAAGCAGATAACTCGTAAGCTGGAGAGGAAATGGCGTGTCATAAATTTAGAGGATCATCATTTAGCCTGGAGAAATAGTTTGCTGCTTTATAAGAAAGCCCTCCGCAAAGCCAGAACATCTTACTATTCGTCACTGATTGAAGTAAATAAGAACAACCCCAGGTTTCTCTTCAGTACTGTAGCCAGGCTGACAAACAGTCAGAGCTCTGTTGAGCCAACCATCCCTTTAACGTTAA